GCAAGTAACTAAGAAGATAAAGCAATCTGATTGATTTTGTTGTACTATAATGAAAAGATAGCCCTGAGATAATATAAAAGAGACATGTGCATTCTCAATCATGAGAGCAGTCAATGCCTTGGTAGTGTTTGAGTATTAGGGTATTTTTATTTATTTATTTGTTTAAAAATTTTTGTTTAAAAAAAAATTTTGTTTAAAAAATATCTTTTAGTTGTTGATAGATCCTTATTTTTATTTATATACATGGTGCTGAGAATCAAACCCAGTGTCTCACACATGCCAGGCAAGTGTGCTACCACTGAGCCCCCCAGCCCCAGCCCAGGGTATTTTTAATAAAAATCAAATGTATGAAAACTTGACAGAGATGTTATGTCCCAATGCTTGGTAAATCACAACATTGTAAGAGCCATACCAGATGTATAGAGGAAAAAAAGACCAATTTATGCAAGAGTATTTCTGGTTCTTGAACTTTGGCAAAACAAACTGAATTACCAAAATAATAGCTTCCAAAAGGAATTTATAAAGTATTAGTTTATGATAACCTATGTCAGGTCTCAAAAAATAGTACAAAGAAAAAATGTTTTGAAAAATTCCAAAACAGAGTAAGAACTAGGCCTCACTCTATTCTGGAGTTAACACTTTTTTTTTTTTTTTAATGCAACCAGTTCTATTTTCTTAAATACACATACTCCTGCACACTGTCTCACATACATTTACATATAAAAACATGAAAAGAGAAAGACAAATGATATAAGTTGTGTGGATAGGGTTTTGCAGGTCTGTTTATGTAGCCAAGGAGCTCTCGGAAAGATATTTAGGATTCCCAGCATATATCCAATTAAAACAGAAAACTTTTTTTTTTTTCCCATGAGAAGAAAAGATTCTGGCTTGAGACTGACTTTTTCAAACTATTTATTTTCATTTTAAGTTACTTTGAAAGAAAAATATTCAATTTCAGCATTAGGCAGTTAGAAATTTGTTATCCACCTATCACAATCCAAGGATAAAGATTTTTGTATAGTTATAGCCTTGAGATCCAAATCCATATCCACCTTTTTATTCCTTTCTTCTGGACTATAAAACAGAATTCTAAAGTAAATTCCAATCTGTTGACATTTAGGGGTACCCACTCTGGTATGGTACAGAATTCATTAGAGGATAAAATTCTCATTTAGTGTAAAACTCATAATGTGAAAACATTCTCATGCTATAAGAACTCAGAAAATACATTTCTAAATTGATGTTTCCGGGTAAGGAGAGAAAACTGAGTGGCAAAGTGAAATGGAACATTGTTAACTATGGTCCAGAAGATATACTCTGCCATTCAACTAGTTCAGGTAAGACTACCATTGGTCACTAGTAAACTCTGGTCATAAGCTTTTCCTGAGCCAGAAAGGAAGGCATGGAAACTAACTTCTCGATTCTTCCCCATTTCCCTGACAACAAATATTTTAATTTTTTGAAGGGTGAATACTAAACATTCCAAAAATTATAACTTACGTGTAAAACTTAATTCTCATAAAAAAGTTACATTAGCTTTCTCCTTAAACCTTTGGTTAAAAAGAAGGTAGGAAGGTTATAATACATTTTAACAATGCACACAAAGAAATCCAAGCGCAAAATTAAACATAAAAGACACATTGTCCTTTTTGGGTCTTAATACATACAGCCTCCAAAGAGCAAACTCCTGGTTACTTTTTTAAGTAAGTAGATTAAAAACAAGATTAACAAAATGTCCAATCCATGTCAAATTACAGTCTCTACTAGTTAAAAATTCTGTTGGTTCTAAAACTCTGTTGGTGGCCATATTGGTCTAGGATTTTTAATATAAATGAGAGTAGAAATGACAGGGGTTGGGGGAAGGGACTTTCCTTCTTGAATAACAAGGGAAATTTTTATCTGGAATGAAATATTTGAAAGAGGAAAAGAATATTTAAAGTCAGACTTTACCAAAAATCGAAAAATAAAGCAGAAATTAAAAAAATAAAAATAGGGCTATACTATTAAAAGATTTAAAGAATTTTCTAAACATATTTTTGGAGAAAGTAAAAAATTAACTATTTGAGTAAATTGTGTAATTGCTAGATAAAACAATTTTTTCTTCTTCCCAAGTAGTTCTCTAAACCAATAATTCAAAAGACATTCAATTACACATGATTTTATAGCCACTAAAATATATAAAGAAAAATGGCATTACCATAGTTGTTATGATGTATATGTGTGTGTGTGTGAGAGAGATAGAGAGAGATAAATAGAGAGAGAGAGAGAGAGAGAGAGAGAGAGAGAGAGAGAGAGAGAGAGAGA